TGTGTCCGCAACCAAGGTACATGCCCCTGACTGGAATCGAACCTGGGATCTTTCCGTCCACTAAGCCAAACCGGTTTCAGCGCCTAATGCATTTTTATGAAAACAAAACAAAACAACAACAAAAACCATGCTCCCCACCCCTTGATTAGTGTTTATCACGTAACGGGCGGAAACCTCAGCCTGCCGGCCCCCCGCTGCTCGCATCGGTCTGCCGAGGGACCCGGATCTACACTGTCCCAAGCGGTGCAGGGAGCGCGGGCATGGGCATCCCCGAAGCTGTCAGGCAGGGCCCCGGCCCTCCGAGTCCCGCCCCGGTCGGGGCGATTCAAATCCAACCAATGGCGACGTGTAAACAAACTCGGGCCCCGCCCCTGATGAGTAAGACCTCGGGCCTGCGCGACGCTCACAGGACCCCGCGGGGGCTGGGGGTGGGCCTTAGCGGTGGCCACGCCTCCATGTCCGGACCAATGGGCGGCCAGACCCCGCCCCCCGCACTTGCCGCGCTGAGGACCCGAGGCCGGGCTGGGCTCGCAGATGCCTGATTCGGTCGCCGCGCCAGGTCTGAGTCCCCGGAGCGGGCGGCCGGGCCGGGAGCCGGGCTGGGAGCCAGGCTGCGCGCTCCGGCTCTGCCAGTCCCATGGAAAGGGCGCGGTCCGAGGGCAGAGGTCGCCCCGGGATCCGGGCCCTTTGATCCCCTCTTCCTTCCCGCGCCCGGCGCTAAAACTCGGGTTGCGGAGAGGTCTCGGATGGAAACTTTCTCCTCCTCGCAGGCCCCGTTGAAGGAAGCGTGGAAGGGCGCCAGGTGTATTTTTGGGGTTGGGCAAGGCTTTTTCTTGTTTTGTTCGCCCTTATTAGTGAAATAGTACATGCATATTAGAAAAACACACGGGATCTCACGTGTGCTGCTAGACTGAACACTGCACCCTTCCCATGTCAAGAGACAGAACTTGGTGCATATAAACATACCCAATGGATACAAGACATGGGGAGGAGAGGGAAGGTGAAGGCATATTCGGGGGGCAGGGGTAGGGGAGGCTGGCGGGAGGTCAAGGGGGGGAAAAAGGAGACATGTACTACTATTTGTAATCCTTCAAACAATTAAAAAAAAAAAAGGAAAAAAGAAAAGAAACAATGGGTTGCAGAAATTTTCAACTTTGCAGTGGCCGGTGCGAGGGAGGACCGCGACGGGCATTAAGACTTTCAGAGGCCCAACCCATTTATTAAAAACACACAACAACAACAACCAAAAACACTCCTCTGTAAAGCGAGGGCGATCCTGCTAGACATTAAGGAGGATCCTGCAGGGTAGGAGCTGGGCTGCTGGGCGGGTAGGAGGTGCAAGGCGCCCTTAAAAGTAAAGGGATCTGGTTGGGTAGTTGGTGGGGTGCGGAGGACACGAAGCCAGCCTGGATAAGACCGGAAATGCGGTGGCACCTGCGGGGAGCGGAGTGCTCCCAGCTGCAGCGTTAACATCCGAAGAGGGACTCGGAGCAGGATAGTTCTGCAAGGTACTGGGGACCCTCCCACAGCGAATAGGGTTTTCCTGACTCTCCTTCTCAGCTGCACAGTTATAGTTAAAACAGTCTATTAAAGGTTGAACTGAGGGACCCAAAAATCCAAGTCATGTTGAGAGCAGGGGTTTTCGTAATCCTAAGTGCAATGTCTAGGGCTATGCTTGTTGAGTGGCACCAAGGGCCTTGAAGAGAAGCCCTTTGCTTCACAGCAAGCTTTTCAGGAGCCCTTTATTCCACCAGCAAACAGTTGTGAGGTGCCCATCACCCACAGTGATTCCTGTGGGATTAAGTCCCAAACTGGCAGACAAGGATCCTGTGCCAGGAGCCCAGGGTGGCAGCATGATTGCTGGCCTTGGAAGGGTGGACGCATCTTCTTCCATCCTAATCTATCACCCCTCTGAACTTTTCTCTCTTTCACAGAAAGAGAATAGAATTGAAATGTAAATAAAAGCCAGCACCTGGCCCCAGGGGGTTCTGATTACAGTCCTCAGAGTTTTTCAGAGCAGGGAGTTAGGGTTACTGGCTTGGTGATGTATTCAGGGGGAGGTAAACAGAAGTCAGCCTCTTAACTTAAAAAAGATATTTTATTGCAGGAACGAGCCGGTTTGGCTCAATGGATAGAGCGTCAGCCTGCAGACTGGTAGGTCCTGGGTTCGATTCTGTTCAAGGGCATGTATCTTGGTTGCGGGCACATCCCCGGTGGGGGCTGTGCAGGAGGCAGCTGGTCGATGTTTCTAGCTCTCTATCCCTCTCCCTTCTTCTCTGTAAAAAATCAATAAAATATATTTTTTAAAAAGAAATTTTATTGATTTTAGAGAGAAAGGGAGAGATAGAAACATCGATCTGCTCTATTGACTGCCTCCTGCGTGCCCCCTACTGGGGATCAACCTGGGGATGTGCCCTGATTGGAATCCATCTGCCAACCTCTTGGTTCATGGGTCTACTATGCTTAACCACTGAACCACACCAGCTGTGCCACTTACTTTTTTTTTTTTAATATATATTTTATTGATTGTTTTACAGAGAGGAAGAGAGAGGGATAGAGAGTTAGAAACATCGACCAGCTGCCTCCTGCACATCCCCTACCAGGGATGTGCCTGCAACCAAGGTACATGGCCTTGACCGGAATCAAACCTGGGACCCTTCAGTCCGCAGACTGACGCTCTATCCACTGAGCCAAACCAGTTTTGGTTGTGCCACTTACTTTTAAAGGCGTCTGAAAATAAAATGGATTTGATGAATGGATAGACGCACATATGTGAGGAAGCAAATAGCGTAATAGGCCACCCTGGATGGTGGCTATATAGGTTTCATTATATTTCTTTAACTTTTCTATGTTTAAAAAATTTTATAATATGGGGTATGAAACTGAAACGTATAGACACAGACAACTGTGCGGTGGTTACCAGCAGGAAGGGTGTGGGGTGGGGTGTAAAGGGCAAAGGGGCCCTCCAGATGAGGGCCTATCAGAGGTCTCTTCCCAATAGGCAGCACTGAGGGTTGGAAACATTGTACTAGGCACTAGTTAATGAATGCTCAAGGTGTAGTTCAATTGCCAACGGAAGGGCAAGCTACACAAAAAGCGAAAGTGTATCTATTGCTATTCATCCCTAGGGTCACATACACGCAGTGCATGGCCAATTATAATAGTGGCCTACCACTCTCTCCTTTGGGGGCGACCCACGTGTTCACCTTTGAAACTGATAGTTTGCTTTTTATATAATAATAACAGCCAACACTTTATCGGGCACTTCCTGCGAGGTGCAACGCCTTCCCTCCTAATGACCCTATGAAGTGAGGCCCATAATTTTTTAAAAAATATATTTTATTGATGTTATACAGAGAGGAAGGGAGAGAGATAGAGAGTTAGAAACATTGATGAGACAGAGTCATCGATCAGCTGCCTCTTGCACACCCCCTATTGGGGATGTGCCCGCAACCAAGGTACATGCCCCTGACCGGAATCGAACCCGGGACCCTTCAGTCCCCAAGCCGACGCTCTATCCATTGAGCCAAACCGGTCCTGGCAAGGCCCATAATTTAAAGATGAGGAAACCAAGGCTGAGCGAATCTGCTCAAGGTCAAACAAAAGTGAATCTGCTCAAGGTCAGACGCAAGGAAGTGGCAGAGGCAGGATGTGAAGTGGGGCTCACCGACTTGGGTCAGGGCCCTTAACCACTGTGGCCTCTCTCGTGTTTTTTTTGTTTGTTTTGTTTTGTTTCTTTCCCAAAACCTTGCTTTCTTCAAGGAGAAGATCTACATTTTTTTATTATTTTTTTTAATTTCAGAGAGGGAAGGAGAGAACCACACATCTCCTGCCTCCTGCACGCCCCTCACGGGAATTGAACCCTGACCTCCAGCTTCATAGATGGACGCTCAACCACTGAGTCACACCGGCCGGGCCACTGTGGTCCCTTCACACAAAAAAAAATTTTTAAAGGAAAAAAAAAGGTTTAAATAATATGAAGTGCCACAAAAACACTAGGTGAATGCTAAAGCTTAAAAAATAGAGATACGTTTCAGTCACTGACTTATTGAACACATTTCTTGAGCAGCTTCTGTGTGCATGGAGCTGTGCTAGGCATCGGGGAGACAGAAGGCACTAGGGGACCATCAGTCCCCCTGTGCGCCCAGGAGGGCAGGCCTGGGCTGGTCTCCGCGGGGCCCTCCGCCCGGCACAGGGCACACAGTTGGCGCTCATCGCACCATGCATTCCCTGGATGAACGTGTGAGTCTCTCCGGCCAGGCGGGGAGGAAGCGGACCCAGCTCTATCGCGGCGACCTGGGGCCCCGGGAATCCCTCCAGGCCGGCTCTGCAGCAGGACGAACCCGCGTCCCCAGCGCCCGCCGCGAGGCCGTCGCGGCTCGGCCAACACCGACTGGGATGAGCGATCAGCCAGCCCGGGGTTCTCGGCCAGTCGCCCCAAAGCCCACGCCACCTTAAGGCTAGGACTCCGGCTCCTTCGCGGCTTCCCAGGCGAGACCTGCCCTCCTTCTCCCTACGCGACCCCCGCTACCTTTTCAAACCACCGCGTCTTCCCGCCCGGCGACCCTCGCCCGAACCGGGGGCGCGCCCCGGGCAAACGGCGCCCCCTTCCCAGCCGGGCTGGGCTAGGGGGCGCCCGGGATCTGGGGGCGCGAGTCCCTTTAGTTCTCCGGCCACACCAAGCGCCGTGAGAGGCCATCGCCGGACTCCACCGGAGTCTGAGGAGGCGCGTCCCCAAACCCCCGGGACCGGGGCCGAGGAGGGGGCGGAGCCGGAGCAGAGGGCCCCCTCCCCGGGCGGCCGCGGCCTCCCATTGGCTGGCGGGCCCGCCGCTCGGCGCCGGGAGCCGGGGCCGGTTCGCCGGGATTGGGCGGAGATTTCCAGGCCCCGCCCCCAGAGAGGGCGGAGGGAGGAGGCGGAGGAGGAGGACGAGGAAGGGGGGGCGGAACACAAAACCTGTAAAGGTTTTTTTTTTTTCTTTTGCATTTCATTAAAAATAATTTTTTTTTTTTTTGCACACCCGAGGGGGGTCCTCCCCGGAGCGGGCGCGGCGGGGCCGGGGCGCCCGGGCCGCGGCGCGGGGCGGCGGCGGGGACCCGGCGGAGGCTGCCGGGCGGCCGCCATGCGATCAGGCAGTGCGCTGACCGGCCCGGCCGGTCGGCCCCTTCTGGGTCCTCCCTGTGCAGCCCGTGCGGGGCCGTCCCGGAGACCCCGCGCCGACGGCTGCTCAAACATCAGGGTGAGTTTCTCACAATGTAGCAATTTCTCTTTAAATCTCTTAACTCTCTCTACCTGCGAGCCGGGGCTGTGACAGGGCGCGAAAGCGAGGGGGGAGTGGGGCTTGGAGGCGAGGGTGTGTGTGTGGGGAGCCGGAGCCGGGGCCGAACCCACCCCCCCGACACTCCACACACTCAGCCCCCCAGCCGGGGCGCAGCGTCCGCTGCCTCCTTCTTTTTTTTTTTCTTCTTCTGCTCGGCGCCCACCGCCCCCGGCAGCCCCCCACCCCCCGGTCTCTCCTACCGCCACCGCCGCCCCGATCCTGCGGGGACCCCCCTCACCCCCCAGCCCGGCTTCCCTGCCCGGACCCGGCGCCCGGTGCCTCCCGCCGGCCCTCCCGCCGGCGGCCGGGGATACAATGGAGCGGCGGGGAGACGAGACCTAACGTTCCAGGGGGGGAGGGGCGGGAGACCCCCTCCCCGGCCCGCGGGCCGCCCCCCGCGCCCTCCCCGGCCTTTTCGGGGGGAAGAGGAGGGCAGCGGGGCAGCGGACGGCGGTTTCCCGGCCGGAGGCTTCGAGACTCGCCCGTCCCCTTCTCGCCCGTCCCCGGCGCCCCCTCCCCAAATGTCTCCCGGGGCTGCCGGGGGAGGGGGCGGGGGGGGAAACTGGGGGCCCCGGCCAGCTGGGGAGGGATGGATGTGGAAGGAGGCCACCGGGTCTCCCCCTCCCCGTCGCCCCTAAACAATGAAACGAGTTGACTTGGTCCCCCACCCCCGGCGGGGAAAGGACGGGAGCGGACCCCTCCCCAGCGGGCCGGCTGGTCCCGGAGGGGGGCCGCGGAGGGGGAGGGAGGAGGAGGGAGGGGGTCCTACCCCTGTCACCTCCCGGGCTTTGGGGCGGCCCCCCGCCTCCCACCTCCACCCCCCTGGGCCCGGGAAGGGGAGGCAGCGGCCCGGCCCGGGCACCGCGCTCGGGTGGTGACCTTTAGACAAAGGCAGGCCTCTCCCTGGGGGGAGCCGGGCGAGCCGGGCCCGCGGAGGGCCGCCTGGCCGCGGGCACCGGGCGGGCGGGAGGGAGGGATGGAGGAGGGAGGAGGGACGGAGCCATCTGGTTTCCCCGTCCCTGGCCGCCCCTGGGCTGCCGCTCCGGCTGCTGTCACGGGCGGCCGCGGGGAGACAGGGGACCCGGGCGGCCGGGCCTTGGTCCGTGGCCAGCGGAGGAGGGCGCGGGCGGGGGCGCGGCGCCCGCGGGGACTGGAAGGCGCTGCGGCTCCTTCCTCCCCGCGCCCCTTTGTTGTGCTTTGTGGTTCCGAGCAGCTGAGCTTCCCGGGAGGTGGGGTCAGGGGCCGCCGTGTCAGCAGCGCCTCGGGGAGGCGGGGGTGACAGGTCCCGGACGGAGGCTGCCTTCCTCCCTTCCGACCGGCCGTCCGCCCGTGGGGACTGACAGCCCCCTTTGTCACGGCCCTCCAATAGTATTGCAAGGATCTGGGTCTGCACCCAGCGCCTGCACTTCCCTCACCTCTTTCCGAGGGCGCTTGTCTGGGAAACAGTTTGTAGAAACACCGAGACACCAAGGCCTGAGATTTGTAAGTGCTGAGCGCTTTCCAACCCTCACGTGCGGCGGGGGTGGGGGTGAGGCTGAGTAAGTTCTTGACCTGGGGATGGTGGTTGAGAAAGGGGAGGTGACACAGCTCAGGAACTACTCCCTGCCCATGTGCTGGTGTCAGGTGGGACTTAAGGGGGTTCATTGACCTCCCCCCTCCTAGGAGTTGGAGATAAGCTGGTCTCTCTACCCAGGGAGCATGCGGGCAAAGTGGCCACCATGGGAGGAGGAAGTCGGGACTGCTATTCGTCCATTTTTGCAGGCAGGCTTAATGGAAGCTCAGAGAGGTTAAGTGACTTGCCCAAGGTCACACAGCCCCAATTTGTAACCCTCTCAGGTTTCTCCAACTGCATTAAAAAACCGTTAGGTCCCTCTGTACCCCTCTTTGGCACTTGGTCCCTTTGATTTCCGTCGACCTGGGTCTCAGATGTAGTGAATCCCCGGACAGAGCTGTCAGAGGGCACCTGGACTCGGGGCTGAGGGCAGGGTCATGTCACCTGTGGCCCAGCGCGTGCCCGTGGGAGCTGAGAGTCGGAGATGTGTGAGTCAGGGGAAGGGGGTGGCCCAGGCCTGGCTGAGGTCACCCAGGAGCCAGCGCCGCTGTCATCCTCTTTTCCCCCTGAGCGGGGACTTGCCCTGGCTTGCTGCTCCTCAACCCTGCAGGGAGGGCAGCTGAGCTGTTGGTTGGGCACTTGGCTGTCTTTCTGCCCCATGGCCCTCCCTGGCACCCGATGCAGCCGGCAGGGAGCTCTCCTGCCCGTTCCCCGCCTGGCCTGGTGGCACACGCCTGCTCCCGGTCTGTGACCTCGGGAGGCCATTTCCCTCCCTCGTCCTCAGTTTCCTCACCTGCAGATGGGGACAATGACAGTTCCCTTCGCTGACCTTGAGGGGGTGAACGTGTATCCAGACGTTTTATTCTTTCTTTTTTTTTTTTTTTTAATATACTTTATTGATTTTTTTCCAGAGAGGAAGAGAGAGGGATAGAGAGTTAGAAACATCAATGAGAGAGAGACATTGATCAGCTGCCTCCTGCACACCCCCTACTGGGGATGTGCCCGCAACCAAGGTGCATGCCTTTGTCCGGAATCGAACCTGGGACCCCTCAGTCTGCAGGCCGACGCTCTGTCCACTGAGCCAAACTGGTTTCGGCAAGACGTTTTATTCTTATTTCTCACTCAGCGGGTGGGATGTGGCCTGCCTGTAGGATGGGGAGGATTGCCTGGTGCTGGGGGCGGTACGGAGACCACGTAAGGTGTCCACCCCTGAGCATGTTCCTGTGGCCGGTGGGGCCCGCCTGTACATGGTCCTGCTCCCTTCACCCGTCTGACCCTCCCCCTTCAGCCTTCCCCGGTGCTGAGTCCACCTTTGGGGGGGTCCTGTGTCCCCTCCCTCACTAGATGGAGACGCTGAGTTCCAGGAAAGCCTGGGCCATGGCTTGGGGTGGTGGCCAGCGGGCTGCGTGTTTGTCAGCAGAGCTGGGAGGACACATTTTGAGGGCGCCCCTGCCCCCCAACTGCTGTCCTCTCCTTGATGTGCAAATGCCTTCCTCTGGAAGATGACGGGCAGAAGTAGAAATACTTCTGGGGGGGCAGCAGGAGGGGGCTGTGTGTTTCCTGAAAGGAGGGATAGATTTACTTGGAGGTGGAAGCAGGCGTAAGCCCCAGAGGGACAGGCCTGTGCCCTGCCGCCCCCCCCCCCCCCCCCCCCCCCCCCCCCCCCCCCCCCCGGCTCACTTCCTTCCCAGAGGCCTCTGGGGCATCCCCTGGGGATGTGGGGTCCTCTTCCCCTTCTCAGCTCTCAGAGTCTGTGGAGGGGCCAGGAGGTCAGTGCCAAGAGGTCAGCGCCAAGCCCTGGGGTGGGGGTGGGGGTGGGGGTGGGGGTGGGCATGAGAGTGGGGGCGGGGGAGGGAGGGTGCCCCCAGGTGTGGGAGGGTTCTCCAGGAGTTCCCGCCAGCCTTCCCGGCTCTCCCCTCTCCCCTCTCCCGTGGCTGCCTTGACTCCTGGTCTCAAGAATGCGGAGGGCTGCTGGTGGGGAAGCTAATTGGAAACAGGGAAGCATGGCATTCCTTCCAGGCAGCCCGGCCTGGAGAGCAACAGAGGGGCTGCCATCCCCCCCCCCCCCGCCCCTCGGGGGAGAGGGCTGGGGGCGTGGTTGACTGGCTCTGGGCTCTTTGGGGCCTCCCCCCCCCTCCCCACCAGGCACTCTCCCTCTTAGTAGAAATAGTAAGTCCTGAGCTACACATCCATGGTGGCTGTCAGTGTTCCCCCTCCCTCCGAAAAGAGGGGGGCCCTCACTTAGTCACTGTCCCTCCCGGTTTGTCCCCTGCCGAGACCTGGCTCCCCAGCCTGGGATGCCTCACACGAGGGACTCATGGGAAATGTTGGCTTGATTGTCCCCAAGGAGCCCCTCCTCATTCCTTCTCCTGACGTCGCCCCTGCCTGGAGTCCCCCCATTAGAGGCTTGTCCCCCTGGACTGACGCCGTTGTGTCTCGGGGGCCATGAGAGTCTCCCCAATGGGGAGAGAATGTTTTCCAAGAACATTTCTCGTTGTGCTGACAGTTGGTTTTGTGTATTCATGGGGGAGGGGGTCTGTTGGCAGGAGAAAGCCGGGGAGACTGCCTTTGTTTTCTGAATTGTTTCCTGTGAAACTTCCTGAGGGCCTACTGTGTGCCAGGGCCTCGGGCCTCCGTTAGGTAGCTGGGACCCTGTCTGTCCTGGAGGAGGAGAAAGTGAAGAGTTGTTTTCATGGCTCTATTCCCTGGATGGGATTTGACAAAGTCTGTCAGGGAGTCACCGAGGAGGAAGCAACTTCTTTCTCCCCCCCCCGTGTCTCTCTCTCTTTTCCTCTAAGCGACATAGGCACTGGGACACATTCAAAGGAACACGTCTCCTCCGTTTCCGCTGGTGTCCCCGGGACCCGGCTCACCTCCCCAGATGCAGCTCCTCATTCTGATGCTCCGTTCACACACGTTCCCCTGTGTGTCTATCTTTAAAAATGTTTATTGCCGAAACCGGTTTGGCTCAGTGGATAGAGCCAGAGCGTCCCGGGTTCGATTCCGGCCAATTGGTTGCGGGCACATCCCCAGTGGGGGGTGTGCAGGAGGCAGCTGATCGATGTTTCTAACTCTACCCCTCTCCCTTCCTCTCTGTAAAAAAATCAATAAAAAATATATATATTTTTAAAAAATGTTTATTGTGCGCAGACGGTGGCACGCTCTTCCCGTCATCCTGCAGGCGGATTTTCCCACTTGAGCTGCCTGGGAGACACTCCTGTGCTTACACGGAGGGTTTCCGCGTCTTTTTCTTGGCTGCGTGGTATTCCGAGGGTGGGGGAATCCTCCTTGACTTGGCATACACGGACGGACGTGGAGATGTTCCCAAAAGTCCCTGCGCACAGAGAGGGAAGGCGGGCTTCCAGGC